GACCATCGTCTGCTTGTCACCCAGAGGGAGCAGAGGCCGGGTCAGGAGTTCGGGCGCCGAAAGCCGGCGTCGTCTGCTTGTCCATAGCAGGGGCCGTCGTACTTTTTTTTAACGGCATTTGAAAAACCTACAGCCCTTTATGAAGGAAAACTTCCGAATTCAAGAACGCTCCTTTTCTCACTCGTTTGCAATCCACCGTTTTAGGAAATCACCGGTTCGAGATTTTTGGGCAGAGAACGCGCGTGCACACCACGAGTGCTCTCACGAGATCTCGCTTGAAAACATGCCATGGTCGCTCGTGAATCCATGGAACGCGAACATGTTTTCATACCAGAAACTCTAGAACCATGATTTCTAAAGATGTCGAATAGAGAATGAAGGAAGCGACGGGGCTACCTTACATGCTTCCTTTCCTTTCGCTTCCAAGAGGGCGACGTTCTGGGTGATCGGCGACGTTTCCCATGTCGTCGATTACTGCTACAGTGTGGAGTGATCGAAGGTGGCGCCTTATGACGGCTGGCACCGGAAGTGGCCAAAGAAGCGACCGCGCTCTCTCGTCTACCATTCAACGCGGCCGCTTTGGATAGGGTTAAGCACTGCCTCTCGGTGTTGTGTCAAGTTGGGTCTTGGGACCCTGTCCAATTAACCAGTAAGATCCCAGACAGTTCATCGACGGTACTACGCATCAGCGAATTCCAAGAAACGTCAGACCTACTCTTACGCTCTGAATTACAGCAAAACGTACGCCTAAAACAACAAAAACAAAAAACAAAACCTCTATCTTGTTTTGAGAGATTATGCACACCGAATCAACAGTGAGTGATTCGAATTCAATGAGTCCCCACGGTGTTATTAATCGTTCCGGCTCATCTAAGCAAGCGCGTGTCTTTTAGGTGCGTAGCGAAGGAAATAGAAGATCAACGCAGTCGCCATGCCTGCAGACGAACCATCTGTGGAGTGAGGATGAGCGATCGCAGGCGTCGTCGCGTTGAGGGAGGACGCACGGTGCAACAAGCATTGGACGCTTCATGAGGTTCACGACTCCAAAGGAGCTTGTTCTACTCGGTGTTATTGAACCAACGCCTCCTGTACTAAGATGCCTGTCACTACAGTTTGTGTTCACATCAGTATCAATCATGCCATCGAAGTTTGTAGTGACTAAAAGGCTTCAGAGATTCTTATAATCTAGTTTTTTATACTATATATTAACTCGTTAATAAGAGTCGAGCATACGAGTTCTGAGGTCAGAAGAACTACAGGTGAACTGTCAATCAGGAAGACATCTATAACGCGGTATATTCTACCCTATATGCAGTCATGGGCACGTTACTGCTAAAGTATAAGTGTTGCAGTTATAGTTACTTAGGGAAGGAAAGTAACCCTGCTACAGTTAGTTACAAAATTGAGAGTAACTTGTTACAGTTACAGTTTGTTAAGTAACGGCGTTACTACGTCTTTACTTTAAAACAAATATTAGAAAACATTCAAAAGGATTTTTCCTTAATATGAATTCAAATTGGCATATATATTTCATAAGACATTCTGTTGTTCACGGTAGTAAATCAAATTTTGTGAGAAACTAAGATTTCCCCAATAATCCTATTAACATGTTTAGTTACTCATATTTCAATTTTTACCATGAGGAGCTCCTTAAACAAGATCACAATTTAAGAGTATTGGGGTAACTCCGCTATATGATTAAGCATTTATAGTTTCTTCTTTATCTGAATTACGGGCGACTTCAGTTTTTCAAATTTTTAAGCTAGCAGATACCTGCTGATGATCCATGAAGAACTTTAAAATAAGCAGGACCGCCATAAGGTATACATCAATAGAACATCACGCGTCTAAATCTCGGGAATATCAAATCATGGGGTGAGTTTACAATCGGTTAATTCTAATTTCAAATTTATTTGGTAAGGCCAAATAGGGCGGAAGCAATACAAGTCGTGCAAAATGGGAAGTCAATACTAGTATAATACCCCTGTCAGACGGGCATTTTAAAGGCCTTTAGAACAATCTCCTTTATAAAATCGGCGAACCAACGCACGCCGTTGGGCACGTGCGCACTCAGCATCGTGAGCTGTCTGGCTGATTTTATAACGGAAGTTAGTGAAAAAGAGCTTTAGAACGCCGTCTGACAGAGGTATTAGAGGCTTGCTCTCAGATTTGTAGAAGTTTTTTGATGCCATTCCAATCCAGTCGTCCGTCGAATCGTTTCTACTGCGTACGCACGATCTTTCATGAAGTACAAATCTTCCCTTAAAAACTTGGAGAGCAATGCTGCGGCAACATCCCTCCGTTAAACCCGCTGAACACGGCAGCGGTGCAAAAGGAAGCACTGATCGAGGTACAAACGACCACTGCGCGCAGAATCCCAAACGGCTGTTGCGATCTTTTCATTGCCACTTCCTAACGTCATCGGACACGTTTGTGCTCCTCCATTTCACCACCCCAAACCAGAAGACCACCCTGAAAGTATAGGACGCGAATATCTGTTTTGCGATCTTTTTTTTATAAGGTTATTGATTTCTGTGCTTCTTTTTTCTATTGTGGTTGATGTGAGTGGAGGGGCTCGTGCCTCTTTTTGTGACACTAAAACATTTTTTTTGTCTCGTGTTTGGCTGCCTTTGTGCAAGTGTATATTCACCTGTGAGCTTGTGTTTCTGCTTATTTGTACATTGTGTACACAAGTACCAAGTCATCTTATACTAAAATGTACTATACCCCCCCCCCCCCCCCCCCCTGCTATAATGCCTCTGGCGCTGCGGGGTAAACTGAAATAAATAAATACATCAACTGATGCCAAGTGCCCCTGGTCTTGGATAAGGGCGCGGTCTTTCGATTTCAAGAAAACACAGAAATAAGGAGGACGACACAGACGTTTTGAGTGAACACCCTTTCTGAAGTGACGGGACCCGTGAAGCAGAGCAATGCGGGACAATAAGTTGGTGACGGAAAGCAAGGCCCGTAATTGGGTTGCGAAAAAAGAGAGAACAAATGGGCCGAAAGTCGAGACCCCGAAAGAGTGTATCTGGGAGTTGGACAATTTAAATTAGAGAGGAAAGAAACGTATGCTCGGCGGCAAAAAGACGAGGTTTGGAAAATCTGCTCTGCCGTAAGCCTGCGGGCGGTGGGGACGACAATCACCAAAGACTATCCCCCAAGAAAAACACTCACTCCCTTTGCCGGTCGAAGAAAAGAGAAACGCTTTAGAGATACCGCGCTTTGTTACATCTGCGTGCACTGTGGGCGATGTATCATACACGGCGGGCACGGAAACAAACGTCATCATCACCCCAGTTGACGGTACCAGCTTGGCCAAGCAAGGTCACCCAAAAGTTAGTTCATTTTTATTTTTCCCTCGTGCTCCAGACGGTTTCTGCAGCAGTTTTGCTGTGCCCTTTCCGTAAAAGTAATTGGGACTCTTTCACGAGTTGCGAGGCAATTTGGTGGTCATGTTCGCCACGATTTTGCACATAAATCTAAGCATTAACTGTAACAAAGTTACCTTTTACAGTTACTTTGGAAAAAATAGTAACCCTGTTGCAGTTACAAGGTGTTTCTACTTAGCAGTAACGATTTACAGTTGCAAAGTGTCTGAAAAAGTTACTAGTTACCGATATCGCGTTACTAGTAACTAATTACTGCCCAAGACTGCCTATATGCTAAAATTGCATAATGTATGATCAATAGCTGAAGCTGACTCTGCACCAAATCTAGTTATACCCGTGCCACACGGGCAACTCAAATGCCATTTACAACGAATGACATTAGAGTTTGTCTTGTCTTTCGTGGGCACGCAGTGGACCACACCTACATCTGAGCCAGCAATCTGAACTCCCATCTTCCTCTCGATCTCAGTGATTATTTCAGCTAGACGTTAATCTGGGTTGTGCTTAATCCTGTTCACCTCCAGATTTATGGGACTGTATAGCTTGATTTCAACGAGGTTGCGCTTTACGTCTTCAAACTATTTGATACGATCCTTGTTTTCTTTTTTTATTTCCTCTTGTTCAGTTCTCAGTTCTATTATTTCTTTGGTTACGTTAGCCATTGTTACCTTAAACTCTTCAAAAACTTAGTTCATGTTATCTAATTTCATCGTCAGTTCAGTAAAGAGTCTTGCCACTTCTTTTATAGTGCCAGGTTGTTCAACCGCCATTCTGATCTTGACGAACGGTTCAAGCTAACACTGGAATTCAGCAGGTGATCCAGCCAAAAAGAAATAGGCAAGAACAAACGTAACAGTACCTCCAAAATACAATGCGTAAGAGTGCGGCCGATGCTGTCGTGGCTGGACCGCCCGTCGAAGTGTTGTGGACAGTCCAATATCGCCTCTTATATTGGGCTGGGCAAGGAAGTCGGGTGTCTTGCGTGGACCGGAAGTGAATGGCGTCAAGGGGCGCTTTTTCGGTAGCTCGGGTTTGCTTTGTCAGTGACAAACATTTTGAATGAATGATGATTTTACAGGCCGTGGCTACCAGAGCATGGGAAAGGCTGAGAGCGAGTGCTCTTAGCATTCTATGGGAGCTGCCTAACTTATTTGCTACCACATTTCGCTCTCCGAGCTTTGGTAGTGTTATCAGAGAGTCAGGGAATGTCTACGCTACATTTCGTTAGAAACCGCTCTTAACACATTCTTGACGTCTATAAATTACAAAACGCGCATTACGTCGCAAGCTTTACAAAGGAGAGACGAAAAAATACTTCGCTTCTATATTTGAAATTCAACCGGGTCAAATATGCTTCTGGCTGCGTGTACATGGCGTTGCGTGTAACCTTACGTGCGTCACGCTTGCGTCAGCGTTCTCGAGAAAATTTCTAAAGATTCAAAGCTGGTTTCGCTGCATGACTCCTTTAAATGGAAGTAATAAAACCCATAGTTCCCACCTTCTCTATAGCGAAAGTAACAATCAAAGCTCAAGATGCTACAGCGAGCACTAAATAATCTGAAAACATTACAGACATCTATGGAGCGGAGTTTTTATTTCTGATCGCTGCGCTCCACTCATCACCCATTCTTTTGTCTAAATATAAAAGGTGGCCGTCGCGGGAACGAATAATATATCACGAACGACCACCCATCTGCATAGTCTTGAAAGTAAATAAAAGAAGAAAAAATGAAGCTTGGAAAAAAGGGACGAAGAAAAGCGAGGTGGGGAGGACGGTCATTCAGCGTCGACCAGTTCGCTGCAGTTGAGGCTCTTCGAGTCCGGCTCCTTGAGGTGCTGGAAGTAGTCCCGTGCAGCGGTGAGCCTGGCGTATCCCTTCCACTCGTCCTGCGGGCACAGTTCTTGCCAGTCTTCGTAGTCCACGTCAAAAAAGGCAGTGCCGAACGTCGCGTTGCGAAACTCCACAAACGCGCTGCACAGCTGCGAGGATAAAGGAACCGGACCAAACATATTTCTTAAGATGGATGATTGGTCAAATTGGCTATCCATACTTATAATGTAGAGCACACAAGAACAACTCACACTGAAAGCGCTGAATGCGTGGTTCCTTTTCACTAGCGTGCCTGTTTCAGTCTGAATTTTTCTTGTGCGCTCTACATTGTAAGTATAAAAAAACATATATATATATTGTATACGCCGTTTATGTTCCAGCTTAGCTCAGTAAAACGTACTTAGAATGGGATTAGGCTCCACCGTATCTTTGTGAGCGCTGCAGGAATATTCGTCTACGGTGTGCAGCGGGGACATCGAGTTTTTCCTTACTCTATTCAATTCTTATTTAATGAAATATTCCATATATGCTACCTGGCGCCCGGACCGGAAAAAAGGCTATACTCTTACACCCGTTGTTAATGTAATACACTCAAAAATTTCAGTTGGATGTACAGCGCACTGACTTTCAACTGACAGTACAAACTTTCGTGAGCGGCTTGATAGCCGAGTTGTAGAACTTATTAAAATAGTTAATGTACGTGTGACTAACTGCAAAATAAGCAATCGGGGTTTTCTCGGCCCTACTGCAAAACGTCAGTGTTTTTTTTTTGTAGTCCATGATACTTGCTTTAGCTGTTTAATCTGGTGTAATCCACCGTCATCGAGCCTCTTGTAAGAGCTGAAGCCATCAGTTCGACATCAGTGCGCTGTACGTCCAACTGAAGTTTTGGTGTTTCTTATATGGGACAAGGGGTGTAATAGCTACACCCTTTTTGTTTAGAGTGCGTAGGTATTACATAAGGGGTGGCGGAAACTAGAAATTCACAAGTTTAAACGACGGAGCTCGAACCATAGAAATGCACAGGCAATGCACAAACATTACAATTTAAGAGAACAAAAATCGCATAGTATAGGGTGGAAATTATTTCTCGAGCTTAGGGGGTTCTTCAGCTATGCATTCTTTTGCCTGTCAGTATGTTTTCACTCTATACGTGTTGAGTTACTCGCACTCACTGGTCGTCCTTGGCTTCAGAGTCTTCAATAACCTCGCGCCCACAATTGGTCACGTCGACTCACCTTCCAGAGTATGGTGAGCGTGTCGTCGAAGGTGGCCGTGTATCCGTTCTTGTCAGAATATGCTTGCGTGAAATGTTGCGTCTCCACGGTCTTGTAGGCCGAGTAGTCGTCGGCCAGCTTGCACAGCTGCGATCGAAACACGCTGCGAGTGAGCGCCAAGGTGCCGCCGTCATTTCAAAATTTTTGTCACTAGGGCGGTCGATGGTGCATGCATCAGGTTAATAATTGTGTCGATTTCCCGCAATATTGTTTCGTGGAAAGGTCCTGGGAGTGTGACACTGCTCACGATGAAGGGTCAGCGGGCGAAATAAACAACACGGACGTATAGCGAGGTAACTCAGCCCAGAGCCATCAAAAGGGGGACAAAATGATGCTTGGAGTGACGTCCGGCAAGCTAAATCACACATACTGGTGACGATCCATAATGTGGTAGTCTATTTCAGTCCTCCCTTTAACAGCGTAACTGACCCGGGATTTCCCACGCGTCATTTGTTTTGCCGCTCACCCTGAACGTGGCTGTGCCAGCTCTTGTTACCGCATCCCGTACAGCAGCGTGACTCCGAAAATGACACTTCAAGGACGCGTGAAGCCACACAACTCTACTATATGGCGTGCGACAGTCTGCCTTTGTCCGTTCTTTTTATCCGGGCGGAAAGCTTCCCTCAACCCACGTCCGCTTCTCTCCGCGACGGAGGCCCAGAACGTGCTCATCACGTGGGTCTGGACAGCCACTCAGTTGGCTGTCAACAAGGCCTCCTCTGCTATTCGAGGTCGGAAAGGATACGAGGACGAGGAGGCAAGGCCTCTTCCCTCTAGCAGAACCTCAACGGCCGGACGTATACGGCGGCCGCGGGCTGAGGCACACCGTTGACGGAACGTGTGACGCCTAGTCTGACGAGCACTGACTCAACAGAAATGCGTAGCAGGAGAGAGAAAAGCAGTGACGTTCGCGTGGTTGATATCCAAATAGAAGACGGACGTCCCAACTTGGACTTTTACTTCATATGCCGCTGAAGTTCTGAAGCATCCTGTTTGGACAACCTTTTAGGCTAAGGAACAACGTCGTTCGACGCATTGGGATGCGATTATGGAGGATCGTGCTCTACTATATAATCCCTGACAACTGAAGAAAGGCGGGGCGTGCTTTTTATCGTCCCACTTAATGAGATGATGGCCTAGAAGAATGCCCAAGAACGAAGCGAGAAGCGTGCCACACGCTGCTTAATCTCTAGCGGACATCTACGTAACTCGTTACTAGTCACGTCAACCTAGTTCCTTTTTTTTTCCGGTAACGAGTAAAGCATCTAGTTACTTTTCTAGATAAAGGTCGAGTAACGTACTTAGTTACTTTGAAGGCCAAATAACGAGTAGCCGTATTTCACAACTTTTGAGGAGTTACGTGCGCAACGCGATTTACTGAGGCTCATTTTATTTCTAAGCTGAGTATGCGTCTATTGCGACAAAGGCAGAGGAGCAACCTGTAAAACAACTAAACAGTATGACGGTGTTTCAACGTTTATCGCTGAACACATAAATCGAACTCTACGGCTGGGATTGTTCTTCACCCTTCTAGAAGGTTGAACCTTCTAGAATCATGTACAGACCGAATGTAAACCCGGAGGTTGCCGTTACGGGAAGGCACAGAACTTATTATTATGGCGATAAAACCCGAGACTCAGGAACACAGAAGGGGACGAACACAACACAACGACTTCTGTGTTCCTGAGTCTCGGGTTTTATTACCATGAATCATCACCAGCTCGCTTGTTTTTTAAGTATTATTGCACTTACTATCACCTTGGAATTTTAGAAGCAGAGAAAACAAAAGGAAGAGAAGAATACCAGATTCACCATTTTTTTTTAACCACAACACTGCCGTTCCTGCCTGTGGCGTAGCCAGGAATTGTTTTCAGGGAGGAGGGGGGGAGGGGGGGGGGGGTTAAGCCCCATAAGTTTTCCCCCTGGCTATGCCACTGGTTCCTTCGGGCGCATCAGTAGAACGACTCTTCAGCATCGCCGGAAATGTACCTAGTCTCAAGGAAGCGGGGAAATATAACTAATAAAAACTTGCTACTGCTGGAGTGTAACGACTACTGAAAAGAATACAATAAACCACGAAACCAAAGCAGCTGTGTATTTGGTCATCAAAGTAACAATAAAAGTAACTTGTTACTTTGGAGGTAAAGTAACGCGGTTTTTTTAAGTATCGGGAACGAGTAACGTATTTAGTAACTTTTTTGGGTAACGTGAACATGTCTGCTCTGTAGGCATTGCTAAAAAGAAGAGGCGTTGCTTGTTATGTTATTCTTTCTTTCTTATCGTCTAATGATTCTCTGATTGCCTGCGGAACGATAAGAAGATGCCTCACCAGGCCAAATGTTTCTTAAGCAGTGACGTTTCCCGGCCCACTATTTACGCACCGGCAATCGGGGGTTTTCCGACGCTGATATGTCGGCCGTTCTGTCGTACGCACACATGTCTGGCCAATAAAGAAACACTTCAATAAAAAAAAAATTTTTTTTTTTTTTAAAGAGTATAGAATGGACACACATTGCTTTTCAAGCTCTGCTACCTTGCGACCTATGAAAAAGCAACGCAGGTGATTACGACGTCTGCCGTGTCCACCTGGGTTACCGTGACGCCGCCAGAATCTCGGCAGGCATGATGACACGAGTATGGCGTCATCAGGCGAAAATCGAGGTACCACATCTTTGGACGCGCTAAACGCATCAGTCGGAGACACGCTTCAGGCAGTGCACTAACACCGAAAACTTAGCCTTGGCGAAAATGAAGCGGGCCATTGGCCCTCTTACCTCATTAGCGCTGGTGACGTTCGTATTGGTGCTTGGCGCTCCGGCGTCGAAGAGGTTGTTGACGGAGTGGTACCAGCGGACAGACATCGAAAATGACGTCATGATCGTGGTCTGTCGCAGGAGCCTCTCGTGTTGGAGAATGTAGTGGAGCGTCTCAACCTGGGGCCGAGTGGCAGAGTGTTAGCTGCCTATAATCTTAAGCGCGCAACTTTATTTTCTCCAATACTGCCGTATAGACTGACTATCGACAAACAACAAGAAACAAAGAATGGAAGAATTTTGTAATTTTCGCTAACGCAACCCCAAATGTAGCGGTGACGGAGATTTGCTTTTTAAACTTGGTTTTCTCCGGCCCGGGCCCCTCACACACGCACATTTGATCCGGAAGTGTCGTTGTAGAGACATTCTGATCGCGAGTTCTGGTAGATCGTTGATACCCGATACTCCGGCGACGCTTTTGCGCATGCGTCGTGTCGTTATTGGGTATCGGTATCGGAGGTAGCTGAGCGACCTACTAAAACCCCCTTGTAACGCAGTCTTTCGAATACTTAGCCTCACAGTGCGGTTTTTAATTTATACCGGTGCGAATGCACGAACCCCGTTCACTTTAAATCAGAAATCACGAAGTGAAGAGGAAATTGGTTTCTGGATTCACACGCCGTGGCTGGCTCAGCGTGTCAATATCACAAATAAAAAAGGTCCTGATTCATAGAGGCGCTTCTTTGTCGTGTACGCACTATTCCTGGCTGTTCGTTGGAAGGGGGCTTCCGGTAGACGCTAGGTCCCGTGAGCGTGGCGTTGGCTCTGGAGTCCCTCTCGATGATGTGGGTCCTTGCGACCAGGCCGTCTGGAGTGAACTTCCTTCATGACACAAGAGCCGGGAAAAAATCATAAATTAAACGAGCGAAACCTGGACGACACAGGAGGATGAGGCACATGCTAGATGGCGAACGCTACATACGGTGACATTACAGCTGTTGCCCTGTCTCAACTTTTTTTTTGTCTCGAGATCCTTGCTTTTGGAAGCTGTTATTCGTATTATGTTCAACTTTTACCAACTCACCGACTTCACCACTCCAACTTTGACAAGAGTGAAGACAAGTAAAACAACAACAACAACAGGCGGACTCTTGCGTGCTGCTTGCTTTGTTTAGATTACGCTGTAAGATTGAACGTGGAATTATAAATCGAAATAGTTCGTTTTCATACCTGCAACGAAGAGCGTGCTGGTAATGGTATTATAAATAATAGGAAGAACATAAAATAAAAACGGACAAGGCTTTTTCCCATGTCATCTTGTCTGTCTTGATGTTTTAGGTTCTCCCGATTATTTATATTTGTTTTTGTTCTTCCGTGTAGCAGTTGAAGATTAAAGAAAACATAAAAATACTTGTAGCAGGAAGGAATAACTTAACAAGTAATCTCATGAAAACCTCAAACTGGTAGCCGAACGAGCGCCGCACCAGGCGTGCAGAAATAAAGTTTATTCTGTCTCTCTCTCTCTCTCTCTCAAAGTTGTAGCCGAGGTTGGTCTACGAAGTATAGCCCTGAAGATGTTATTACCCGTTTTTTCATGGCGGCCGCCATATTCAATTTTGACGTATACGGTATACTCCATCTTACAAATGTCTGCAGTAAAGACAGAGGCACAGGCGCGTGAGTATAGCTCAGGGGGATTCTTTTGTTTGAACGAAACTATATCACAGCTTGCCAAAGCCACACCCCCTTGCCCATGCCTGTGTCTGCGCTGCAGATGTTTGTGAGATACAGTATAGCCGAGTTGAGACAAAATAGCACATCACTTTATTCACCGACTGGAAGGCGCCAGAATTCAAGGGGTTGGCTAAACTTTTATTTATTGTAATTATGCCTAAATTATTTTATTTAGTCTTTGTCGCGGAAACGGTCTGTTGGCGACGCCTGCAAACGAAAGCGTCGCTGAGGTCGGCTTGCCACGATTGGTCAAAGGCTGACTATAACGTCAGCAAAGGGTTTCTCATCGACAGAAATAAGAGTAATGTAAGACCGTCAATCTCGACGGCGTTGGCAGTGTTGGTTTCAGAGCGGAATGATTTCAAGCTGCCACCTTGCTCCTTACAAACACCATCAAACTTGTTGTTCGCAAGGTAATAACGTCATGAGAGGAAATCATACGAGGACGCCACCAAAACAGCTCGCCGCTAATACCTTGTTGAATCTGCTTTGTGCCACGTTGGCAGAGCGAGCATCATCCTTGCAGTGCCTCAATGCTGTCCAAAACACGTGGGCGAACACAAAGCCATTCATTTGACGTCTTCTTTGCACGAGAGCGCGTACGAATGAGACGCGAGACGAACATACGTTCTCTCGCAGCAGTGTGGCGCTAAAGCACTGTGGGAACTACGCTAGCCTAGGCAACATGGCATTGAACAATTTGGCCCCAACGTGGACTGTAGCTGTGAGGTTTCTAAAGTCACCGACAGAGAGAGGACGGCTGGGCGTGTCTTCCAAATGCCTCCAACACGCGCCTTATGCCTTCTGCCGTGCTTCGACCGTGCGCGCGCGCTCGATTGTGCACGAGGGAGAAAAACGAAGGCAAGAAGCTCGCCCTGGAGGAGAGACGAACTGAACAGCCTCCCTGCAGTTCTCCCTTGGCAGGGAAAGATTTCTTTTCCAGTGTTTCAACTGTCTGAAATTAGAATGTCTTATTTGTAGCACCCACCCGCACAGTCATACTGCAGGGTATGTCCGATACTTGGCATTTACTGAAAAATACCGATTGTCCGAGGTCAAATTGAACTTTGGCGAATCGGTGGTAAATGTAAGGAACGTTAGGTTGACTGCTCGGTGTTTATTTTAATTTTATTTGTTTACTGTTTAGTTCGTATGAATAGCTCGCTTTTGTGAGAATAAGCAGTCAGAAAGAGCCTGAAGCTACCAAGGAAACCGGATACTTTGTTAAAGGGATTGTCCGGTAATATCCGCAGGTTACTAAGCTTTTGCGCTGGCCACGTAGAGAGGGTCTAATTATATTCGTACGTAATTTTTCGTACCTAATTTTTATTTTATTAGGCAAAAGCCCAATACTCGCTAAATTAATTATGAACATCAATACGAAGCTTCACGCCAAATTTTGCCAGTAGGCATGGCTGGTCGTGTCGTGACGTCACAAGAGAGATGTTAACGTCAGAGTCGGGATCGATGACTTATTTCCGGTTTCGATCAACGTCGTTGACGGTGCGTACAAAGATCATCGTCGAAGAACTGAGCTTCCCTCAATACCGCAATTTTTGTTCTTCTTAAAACGAGGTTGTTCTACTGAGACAGAAATCAAAAGCTGATGTGGCTCTCTTTGCCTGATGTTACGTCAGAGTTTCCACTGTTGTTAAAGAAAACGCTGTGTGTTTTGCAGGTGCAATCTGAGAAGTTGGACTATGTTTAAAACTGAATTACTTGTGCGGCGGAGGATTAAAAGTTCGAATATTGTGCGGATGATATTCCTAAAAGCAATGATAATACAATTTAATTATTTTCTGATCGACAAAAGTTTACCGGGCAATCCCTTTAAGCCGCAAGTCTGGTGTACTTCTTTCTTCGTTCACTCTTCTTCGCGTTTTGTGTTTTTTTTTTCACACTACACTACAAAAATAGTAAGCATAATTTCATGCGATGCATCTGGGAAAGCAATCTATGGAAATCTACAAAAAAAATGATTTTGCAAAACAACAACAACAGCAACCTCTTGGGCTTATGTCAAAGATATATCAACGTCAAATACAACTCACCGTGATAACCCACTGTAGTACAAAATGTCTATAATCTAGATAATATTTTGGGTTATGAGAAGTGAATTTTGGTAGTTACTTGAGGAGTGCAATCAGTTTCTTGTTTGGGACAGAAGAATATGGGCTAAGAATCGTGACTCCTAGAACGAGGAAGCCTTGTCCGCCCGGTTTACGTTTGTTCGTTTGGCTGTAGTGCTTTTGTAACTCTCTGAAGGCCTGCATTGAAAGAAAACAAAATGCTTTATACCCTACCCACTGATTTTGCCACAGGTACAGATACATAGATATACTGTGTAACTGAAAACTTATAAAAAAACATAGAAATAACGGCGTTTTTTTAGTCAATTTAGGTCAACGATCTTGTGGTCTTCATTGGGTTGTAAGTTCGTGTCTAACACACTCTCACCACTAATTGAAGTTATTCTGTGATCATTATTATCTAAATCACAACATCTATTGGTCGTCACAACGAAGAAAATATTGCGAAGTGTTTAGCACCGTCCCAAATAGCCACGTCTTATTGATGTGACCTGCCTTTATATAGTGTGCAGTCTTCTAAGCTGTCATCTATTATGAGCCGTACAATAGTTAAGCAGCAGGTCTTTCTGTAACGTGCAGAATTGTTTTATTATTTATTCAACGCACGTTTTTATTGGCTGTCATTGATTATATATTGTTCAGCGTTGCAACATGTGCAACACTAATTATATTTTAACACATCATGTGCTTATGGGCTGGATTCCCTGCCAAAAGCGTTACACGCCGGACAATACGAGAAAGCATACACATCTTATAGCGTATAGAATCATTTAGAAGCCATAATCCTAGTAAATTTGTTTTGAAATGGCGCGATAGTTTCGTGGATAAGTCGATTTATATGCGGATCCCTTGGATCCGCCCCATTCGAAAAGCCCCCCCCCCCCCCCCCCCCCCCATGGCTAAGACTCACAGACGTGGCTCTCTTGGCGTCTCGAGATTCAGCTTCCTCGTTGGCCTTCCGCGTTTGGAGCATGCGGTCTGTGACGATTACGTCTACGGCATTTCTTGCCTTGTCAAAGTGTTCGACATTGATGGCAGCAGCAATGATAGTGATTGCTATCAAGAGATGTTGGAAGCTGATCATTTGGACTGCGACCCGCTCCAGCAACGACGAGTTACAGACGAATTTGCCGTGGTGTTTGTCGGCGGGAATATCTCGCAGGCGCATGCAGGGTGGAAGGTCAACGGGCCAGGGGCGAGAGGGAGAAAAGCGTTCGGGTTGCCGAGTTGCGTGAGTGGTTTTGATCGTACCGCGGCGAGGGGGAGAGCTTGGGCGATTATGGGGGCGCCTAGAATGGGACAGCGTCCTTGGTCGCGGGGTTTATGGACACCATGGTGTGATTAACCTGGGCAGTGTTAACTGGTCGCCAGATGAAAATTATAAAAATTTGTAAATTGATTATTGCAATTACCAGAGCTCTAAAAATCGCGTAACTCGGTGTATGCACTAAGAAGCCTATGAAAATTTCGTTTCAAGAATAATCTATCCTTTTAATTTTCGTCTCCTTGGGGATACTTCAACAAAAATTAAAGGGATACTTCAACGACATTTGAAATATACCCGTCGTGCTCAAAAAGTGGTCGAATATGATCCACAGAATTCGTAAATGACAATCGCACGTTTGTATTTTGAGCCTGATGTCTTTATTTTTTGTTATAAACGGCCCACTCTGGCAAGGACTCGGAGAACAGCCAGTGGAGACCGCGTGACATCCAACCCATTCGTGACGTAGTTCGTCTCGGGACGAGCAAAGCTACGGCGAGGCTGACATCGAGAGGATGGCCTAGTCGTTCCAGCCACCGAAGCGACTGCTTTTGTACAAATTTTGAGTGACAGGTTAATTTTTTATAATATCTAGAGAGACAATAGCGACTTCTGGGACACACAAAAGGGATTCTCGGGAAGAGGGGAGTTCCTCCTTCACCTAATCTCTCGTCGTAGCCGGAGGCGAGACACTCACCGTCACTAGCTATCAAGGTACCTAGACGGGCATTACAAACGAGGCGTTAGCGACATCCACCAGGTGCACTGTGCTAATCGTTTAATTCGTTTTAAATTTCCTTTTCGTGTCTTTTTTAACAAGATATTGGTGTGTCCGATGTGATACTGCTCCTTTGGACACATATAGACCAAAAAATAAGCGCCGAAATTTTGTTGTAGTATCCCATTAAGGACCGTAAGAACGGCATCTTCTGACAAATGTGGCATTCCGCGGAAAATGCGAACATTCGTGCCGGCGATTAAATGGACTTAGCGCCGGACTTTCAGATTATATACTGAGAATCGGAACACAATTCGTAAATTACACACGATTTATACCTTGTCTCCACGCTGCAAGTTTTTTTTTCATTGTTTAGTTCCCTTCTCGTCTTGTGCGACAATGACGCCTTCTGTGCTGCATTTATGCAGGGTAGAGAATAAAATTACTATGAATAAACTGTGATTTAAATAAGATTAGTTTCACAATGATGGTTCAAATCAAACCATGGTCGCAAAATTATTCCCGGAAATGTTTTTGTTTAGTTTTTGGTTGTCTGTCATTCGATGGTTTTGACGTGCAATGGTTTTGCATCTAAATCAACGAATTATCAAACAAGAAAGATTAATATTAGGCTAAACACGGGCAAAAAAAAAAAGCGCTATTTTGAGTAAGTCGGAGCGTTAAGCTTGATTTTTTCCTTCCACTTAGTTCGTCAGGTACGCAACGTCCTATTGCAACAAAATCAAAGTAGAAAAGAAAGACTTTATTCAAACTTGAAATATAAAAAAAAAAAGCTTCTTGGGTAACTAAAAATCATTATGCTGTGTTTGTTCTAGTATGGCGGGGATCGCATAGCAATAAAAAGTTGCGAATTGAACTTTGAATTTATAATATTTTTTTTCTTACACACTGTTATCAGTGATCCAACGAGTTGCTCGATCCATCTGCCACGTCGGAAAATAGATTTAGTTGTAAAGACACCTACTTCTCTGTTTACAGTGATTAAAAAAATAATCTGACTTAAATCAAATACCTATGATTTAGATCGAATTAGTCTGACTTATAACTAGCAAACCTGAGATAAATCAAATAACGCTTATATAAATCAAATAAGCTTATTCTAAAAAAGAACAATCATTTAAAAAAAAAACATTTTATTTTATTTTATTTTTACGTGATCCACCCGAACTCCGGGCTCAAAACAGTAGTTCACGAGGCGGCTAGTCATTCACGCATAAACCAAACAGATATTCGGAAGAGTAGGCGACGAACCCGCATCGAGAGTCTCGCAAACAATCGACGAACAGGGCAAGTTTCGCCAGACAGAGCCGCGCGAGACGGGAGAAGTTTCAGGAGGAATCTGCTGCAGCGGCCCCAGCTAGCGCTTTCGACATCGGCAGCTTCAACGCAAAGCTCGGAGGAGAGAGAGCGCTGAACCCACTACCCCCTCTAGCCCACTGTAGAACCAGGCTACACCCTCCGAAGCGTTACGTTACGGTAAACCAATCAAAAGCCAATAAAAACAAAAAAAAAAGCAAAATGAAGAGTCACGTACTCTCCCTCGCTCGTCAACCACAGAGTCACTATAATGTACACTAGGGCTGTGTTCCAAATCTTACCCAAATGAATCCGAGTTACTCCGGCGGGTCGTATTACGTGACAGTACAGATTGAAAAACGCTGGACGGGGGTAGGTTTTAGAACGCCAAGCGTACAAGACCCTTACGCTGGAGTGAGATCGAGTAAATTTTGGAACACGGCCTAGAGGTCCAACTGGCGCTAGTGTGCGGTTTCGAATTGAAGCAGTCAGCAACAACTATGAAATAGACGGATCTCACTAGACAGTTCGATTACACCCCCGCTGTCACAATGCATCGAGGGAATTTTAATCTTTTTGCACGTGCGACAACCTCGCTGAGGCTTTCGCGTGTGGAGTACGAGACGGCGCAAGCCTGAGCATGCACGGCCGTCCGCCTCCTGCGGACTGAAGTGATGGCGGCGTCACGCATGCGCCGAACACTGAGTGAGATCGGTCTATTATTTTTTGGCAATGGATTTCTATGTGAAATAAGTGAGAGCGTTTTCTCCTCGCGCTTGATTATAAGAGCAAATATCATAAATAATTCATATGCACTATATAGCCTGGAACATTTGTCAGTCACGTAGACAAAACTATTGACCAGTTACGGCGTTTTCCTTTCAAAATCACGCCATTAAAAGCGATGGGAAAATGACCATATTTATGAACACTGTCGGACACAGCGCGAACACGGTATCGGCGCTTCTCTGCAGGGGGCCTATGTGCCAAAGCAATGGATGGCATCACGAAAATCAAGAGGGAGACGTCAAGATCTAAACACTGGATCAGTACCCATCTGTGCATGCAGGCGATGAAAACAAAGCGAAAGCCAGGCAACGAGAGCGACTTGCAATAAATAACATTCGTTTTATTCTCTCCGCTGCGTGTGAATGGGTGCAAAGGTAAGTAAGTTCCTGCATTCAAAACTCATATGTCTATGCTTGAAAACTTTTAAAATAGGGGAAGGAAGAAAACTCTTATCGGCCCTATAAGGTCAGCGCAATAATAAAGAAAGTAACATCGTTTATAGTGCGCGTACTTTTACTGTTTTACGGGGTCATTTTATTGGCATATAAATTTCGCACATTACCAACACTAGAGTCATCGGGACTTTTGCGCTTGAACGAGCCGTACGTTCTTTTCGACGGCTATCCTCGCTTGTCGCTTGTCTTTATACACTTTCTGTAGAACCTAGGACATGGCCCTGAATACTGGGAGGGTAAACACCACTCACTGATCGAACAACATATTATACTAAGTGAAGCAATCCCACTTTCATAATGATAATTATGAAATTATCATTATGAAAGTAATTATCATTAGTTACTTTCTATTCGCTACGACCCAAGTAACGAAGGTAATCCCTGTTATTCTCGGCAAAGATACAAAATGCACGCGTATTTTCCATAGGAATGCACAGGAGCACGGCAAGAGTGGACTGGTTGCTGTCTGCTTCAATTTCAAACCGGAAGTCCCATAGGCACTAGCACCAGTAGAACCTCTAGCATACATTACTTTATGCTGTCATGGACGCGCATCCGGTTCCCCGTTCCGTTTGGAGACAAAATCTTGTTTTTACTTGTTGCAGAGCGGGGGAAAGGGGGGGGGGGGGGGGGGCAGTCGTCTTAAAGCGTAGCTCTTCACATCATCCCACTACCTTACGGAGCGGAACTCTACAGTCAAGGCCATGGCCGCGCAAGCGCGGTAGCGGCTTCTTCGTTGCGGAGGGCTTGGTGGAGGGAGAAACGCGGTCTACGAAAACTCCCTAACGCAGCAATGAATAGCGCATCGGGTTTATGACGTCAGGACTTGGCAAAGCGGCCACTGAATGACGTAGCGAGCGCGATAAACATTCTCCCCTCGCGATCCTACTACAGGGGTCGCCTCGCAATCCAAGGGCATTAAAATCTCAATCGCTACTCGCACTGTCGGAAGAAGTAGAACTCACGGATACTTTTCAATGTAGCAGATGTACACATCCAACACTTCACTCCTGAGTAAATTTAAAATTCTCTTGAAAATTCTGAAAAGGGAGCACATGAGTGTGCCTTGTGTGTAACGCATTCGAGACCAGCCAAAGCACCCCGTAGTCAAGCATAGCAGATAATTACGCATGGGATAATCACCCATTCTGTGCTCCCCGGGTTCAGAAAAATGGTCGAGGCAACTTGAAATATTTCTATAGCTCTTGTCTCACTGTACAAGGTGGGGATAACTGTGATTTAAAATTCTTAAAAATAATTTCACTCTAAATAATAAACACCCGTTTAAAATACATGATCCAATCAATAATAAAAAAATAAGAAATACGTTATGCTTATGCTCATGACTGGAATGTTTATGCTATTGGAATTTCGCTTCCTTCCGTAATATATATCCCTAGACGTCTGACAGTATCAGTAGGTATAAATATATATATGAAACCTTGACATAGGTAAATACATTCGCGACCAAAACGAAGCCTCCGAGCTTTCAGTCATGATCTGATAATGTTTCGTTATATCGAGGTTTGACCATAAAAGTAATCATGGACACAAAAAAGTATGAATGGCCACTCACTCGAAGCAGATGGAACACTGTCTCTAAGTGTCCCGTGCCGGCATGTTTCTTTGTGTGAACGTCCAGCACTCCATAGTGGCGGACCTTCATATCCCAGTTTTTTTTCATCGTGCGACGGCCCCTTTGATCTGAGAGGTCCTTAACTGCGTGATGTTCCTTCCTGGTATAACGAGAAACAAGCGCAAACAACTAACATTATTTAGAAGATCTTATACATTGACATTTTCTAAGCTGCACCATTACGAATGACGAGAATAATCCCTGAAGAAGGGGAGCAAGGGGGACAAAGTACACACATAAATCTCTGAATACAGCTAGGCGACTGGTGCGCAACCGAAAACATCCAAGTGGTCCTGTTTGCTGTACTGACATCCAACTCCTGGTTAGCTCAGTTGGTAGAGCGTTCACTGGAAAGGGGGAAGTCCCTGGTTTGATACCAGGACCTGGCGGATTTTTTTTGGTCACGCACCAGTTACCTAGCTGTGTTTGGAGATTTGTGTTTGTCCTTTCTCCCCCTTGTTTCCCTTCTCCAGGGATTATTTTCGTCAATCTTGTCCAGCTCGCTTGAAACTTTGCATGAAATGCATTATCATCATAATCATTACGAACTCGGAACTCGAGCAGGTTATTTGAATAAAAAAAATAATAGAACAAGCTTTGACCAGGCTTTTTCAAATTTCCCATCATACAATTGAAAGAAACATTGAAGTTCTTTTTGAGATCCCCTCTTTATGGTAATAACTCAATATACAAGTTCTAAGCATCCTAAAAGAAAAACAAAAACAAAATTACGTATTCCGCTGCCGATTTCTTTATTAAAAAGTGACCAAAGTTCCCGACAATTACCGTTGGCGCGGAACGACAGATGGCGCCACCGAACCTTGCTGAATGTGGTCGAACGACGGACGACGCTTATCCACCGCTTGCGAGCAGTGGGTCCCCGCGTGGACGAGCGGTCGACCAGTACCACTCGTACACGCAGGAACCCATCACTCGCGAGTGGTTGTCAAGCGCCGTCCGTCGTTCGACCAAATTCAGCAAGGTTCGGTGGCGCCATCTGTCGTTCTGCGCCAACAGTAATTGTCGGGAACTTTGATCACTTTCTTAATATACAAATCGGCCACGCGTAAATGTAATTTCAGGTTTTCTAGGATGTCTTGAGGTGGCAAATTCAGCTATGACAATAAAACGAGGATCTCAAATGGCACTTGAATGCCTCTTTAAGAGCTTGTAACTTTTGCACTGACACACATTAGAACGAATGACTAAAAAAAAAGACACGAATACTTTAAGCAGCCTAGAACTTAAACGTCATAGACTACAAACTGACATTTACCGGTACGACGATTCTTAAAGAAAAAAAAACACAAAAACATTACACTTTTTTGTTAAACATAACTTGCAGATTATGTAAATGTATTTAATACTTTCTTCTAGATGTATATTACACTCACTCTTTCAGAAACATTATTGTGGGTACTGGGTTTTGGCTATATTTACTTAACATTTTGATTTACTTTAATATATGCTGATAAGCCCAACACAGATTGTTGTTGTTTTGTTTACATAACTTTGTACAAACGGGTATATTTGTATATAACATATGAGCACGTGCTGTTTATTTCTATATGCATTTCGTACTATTTCCATTTAGCAGGTTTGTACAGATGTTTCGATGCGGACGGTGCTCGTTTGGCGTGGTTCATAGTGTTATGTCTGTATGCGTGTGCAACTGCTCTTTTAATTTTTATTTTTGCTTGATCGGAGCTCTGTACAGTGGCGTGTTGCTGGTGATGTTAATGCAAGTTGGGCTTTTTTTTATTTCCACTACTGCTGGACCTTCCCTCTGGTGTTTCTTGTTGCTTTCTTAGACAAGTATAGTTGGTGACAGGTTAAGAATTCAGGGGAAGCTCCTCCCATTTATTTCCACTTTAGCAGAGCGAACTCTGAAAAGGAGGCAATCTCCTGTCCAGCGTTCGCTCCACCAGAATGGAAAAAGGTATATGAATTCTTAACCTGTCGCCAACTATAGTTTGCTTTTTGCACAAATGACCATTCAAAAAGAGCGTTTCCTCCCTTTATCTCTCTCTCTTTCTTTCTCTCTTTTTCTATTTCTCTTACGGCGAATTCGGGTGTTCAATCGCCGGCGAGACAGAGCCGGCGGAACCGGCAACCAGAAACGCATCGGCGGCACACCACGTGACCCTCAGCACCCGAAGACGAAACGCCAGACGGTGGCAGTTTACTTCGCCTCTTGCCCGCGGGGCAGCGTAGCGAGAGGGTGTCGCCGCCGTCACCTACGTCCCAACGGCTTGGATTGACTCGACTAGTGGCTGCTAAGTGACTTCAGATCAGTTTCGTTCTTTCGTTCATTTTTTCTCATTGACCTTCTCTCCCATTTCGGAAGTGACGACACCGGATACAGTCTGGCACATGCTCGCCCGGCCGTTTGGAGCTCGGGCGGAAAAAGCGCCGGATAATTGCCGGTGCTTGCCGGAGAACCACCACCCGAACGGTGGGCGCCGGCCGGAAACTGACCACGCGAATACTATTGCCGGTTTTCCGGCAAAATATGTTGCGACTCACCAACCGAATTTCCCATTAAAATAGATAGGTTGATTTAAAGGTTGATTTATCGAGCATACTCCGTATTTTACGAAATTTTGTCTCGAGAAATATTGAGACTACCAAAACTTTGGAATAACTGTGGAATGTGTAAATTCTCACCGAGAAGGGAATAGTTTCTTTCAATATTCATAACAAAACAGATTTTGAAATACAAAGAGCCTTAAATTATATCAAAATAGGCTTAGGGTTTATACTGAGTGCTTGCAGAAAGAGAACTCTCAAGCGCGAGACACATGCGCGCAAATCCACCCGATCCGACGTCCGATCCGGCAGTACGACTGCCTGATCCGAAAAATTTGGTCGCTTCAGACGTCGGATCCGCGATCCGACATGCGTCCAACGCGCAAGGTAGTTTCGCACGGTGGACGGATTGTCGGATGCGTCCAGCCAATGACAGCACAGCTAGCGCGAACGTCATGATGACGTGCTGGGCCTGTCGGGACGAACAACAAAACGGGACGGACGACGGGAAGCCAGACGCGTGGATCCCGCTGACCCATTCGAGAAAGATGGCTTCGACAAAGGATGCACGCGCTAACGAGAACAAACCTCTACCTTCGCTCGTGCGAGCTATACTGTCAATCTGGGACCAGAGACCTGTGAACGGGGACCTCCGCTGGGGTGCTTGGAGCTCGTGAAAGGAGCCGAACGGATCGTCGTGTCGCATGCAAGGTCGGAAGCGTGTGTCTCAAACTGTCGCGTGCGGCGATTCGAAGCGGCGTTCGGACTGTCGGATCGAACGTCGGACCGGACGATTCTGCCGTCCGTGTGTCTCGCGCTTCAGTTGTCGCGACGACGTTTATGGCGTGCTGTCTCCTGCCTTGGACAGTTAACTTTAACTTTAAGTTGATAAACTTTCGGAAACAAAGAGTGCAATTTGGACACGCTATAAATCAGCAATTCAAATGAAAATATATGCGACACTTCAGTACAACGATATGCAGTCACATGTAAATCGACACTAAAGAAACGGCGTTTTCTCAGGGTTAGTTGAATAATTTCCTGTTTAAGTGCTTCATGTTCGACATAAAAAAAGACTGCGTTACGATGAACTGTATACAGGACTTCGTGCTATCTATTTTATTAAGCAATAACGCTTCATAGAGAACGGCATTCATGCTACGCGAACACCGCCAAATACCACGCAGAAGAAAACACCCGTCTGTTCACCATTCCACAGGAATCATCCTGGCAGTTGCTATTTGGATGTTGGAGCGTTTTGTGCGTTCTTCTCTCCCTTGACATATAAATGAGGTAATCTGACGTTTTGTTTGGACTGCTGTGTTACGCAAAAATAGGTGTACCTCCACGCGCGCCTTCTGGGGGTCTGGTGTGCCGCCAAGAAGATCTATTGGGTTCGAGCAGCGGCACACAGCACGCGAGTAGCGCTCCATCTGAGCCACGAGTCGATTAATTTTTGCGTAATATCATCCCCACCTTAGGAACTTGTCATAAATCATTAACATCTGTTGGTTTGAATATCTTTGTACGTCGGGCTGTTTATGATCATCGAAACTGGTCGTATATCGAAAATGGCATGTTGTGTCTATCGTCACTTTACAGTCACAGCGAGCGCTAGCCTTAGGGGCCATTTAAGCACCCTCATCCAGGTCCCTTTACAAGTGGCGAAAAGGAAATCAGGAGGAAAGGCGGGGACGTTAGCAGGCAATCAGCGCTTTCGGAACCACCTTGCAGCTCGTATTGCAAACGGGGCCCATGATACACGCGACCCCAATCGAGCAGTTGGAAACTCTCTGTTATACAGGCTCCTTAAAGTGTCCAGGCGCTTCGCCTTATCCGAATGAAGTTTCTGCGCAGGGTGTAGTGCCCACACCTGACATGGGCAAACGCGGGCATGAAATGCGCCGAGAAAGTGTGGGAGAAGAGGAGACGAAAGAGTTCACGTCACAGCGCCGAGCTCTAGTTAAAACGGTTAGTGGGTAGACCTAAAGCTAGGAGCCTCAATCTTCACTGCCATAGCCTCCTATATACTGAAAAAGCCTGGCAGATCGCCATGAGAAGCGGCCGCGAAATGGAAAACGTGGAGCGGCAGACAACGAATGAGAGGAGAGCCCCGTGACGGGCGCCCCACTGCGGCGACACGCCGAAACACACTTCTCGCGAGCGAAGAGGTGCGTTTCGGGTCCACGCCGCCGCAAAAGCTGTGCGCTCACGTCCAGGTTCCCCGAGAAATGGCTCTTTGATGCTCTGTGTTACCAGATCCTCGCTCTCCAAATCTGGGACCGGGCACTCTATGGCTCCGTCGTCGAACTGCCAGGCTTTGTGAGTATAGAGGAAACTATGCCATTGCACTCGTCGAAAGCGCTCGAACGCAGGACGCCGGCGTCCCGCGCTTAGCTTTCGCACTCGAACAAGTTCGACGAGTGCAGTGGGGACAAAGGCTGGTAGTTTTAGTCTACCCACTAATTATTCCAATCAGAGCTAGGCGTTTTGATATCCCCGCCAGCTCTAGTATCCTCTTGTCCATCACTATCTCGGCGCATAGATCAACGCGCGGCTGAC